CCCCAAAACCCCAAAACCCCAAAACCCCAAAACCCCAAAGGAAAATGACCAGATTGAATATTAGAATTAAACATTAAGACAAAGGAGTTTTCCTGAGTTTCATCACAGAATGAGAATCCTCTGCATTATTGCCCTCTTCTTCATCCTTGTTCTCTTCTGTCTGAGAAGGCTTGGAACTTTGGTGTTGATCCTCAAGTTTTAAATTCCTGATCCCATCTGTTATAGGTGTATTGACTACTTTTATCTTAGGCTTTTGATTTGACTTTCTTCATTTAATGCTGATAGAATTTAGAGAATTTATCAAGCCTGTTGTTATAGGACCAGCTAGAAGCCCCCATGTATACAAGGTCTCTTTATTATCCGTCCAGTCAGACTTTTGCTTGAGGATCATCAGAGGTATGATCAGGACAATAAACCAGATCTGGGTGAGAATCTCCATTAAATTATTTGCTATTTTCTCGTAAGGATGCTGTATCACTCAATAATAAGTATAAATCAAATGTATTGTGATAACCAAACTTGCTTCAGAGTAAAATTTAATCTTCGTGTATGAATCGTCGGTAAAATCATCAGATTCATGCGCCTGGGCAGCTGAAATTAGGATAGTGATTGATCACACTTTTATAAAAATGGCTAAAATAACCCCAAGCCTCGCTTTATTGGTATCCCTAATTCCTGAGGAAAGCTCACTGACGCTCCAATGATTGTGGAATTGATAAGTAGAATGGTTCCTAAAGTTTTAAAATGAGCTTACCATCTATTCCAGTACCAACAGAACAGGAAGAAAATAAAGGTGACCAAGCCTAAGCAAATAAGGCTTCATAAGAGTAAAGACACTCTGTTTTGATTCAGATCTGCAGCTTTGAATTCTGAGACTATTCACATTATTATAAAAGTCATGCTGAGAAGGATCCATCTCAAGTAGAGATTAAAGCTGAATATGGTGAAAATCTTTTCTACAAAGACTTTGAATAGAGTATAATTATTTCTGAGTAACCAATAAGCTATTGATACTAGTAAATGTATGAATATAGTCATGGTCATCACAAAGATAATTGGCAAGAGATTTATCAAACAGCTTGTAGAGTTGAGCCCTATTTGTAGTAAGTAATCCTCTGTTTGGGGATAAGTGATTTGATCCTCTATCTGCCCGAGTAAAGGCATTTGAGATATTGAAATAAAGGAGAAAGAGAATAATGAAAAATCAGTGTTTAAGATAATATCTGCTGGCTTTGGAGGGAAATAATGAGGAATCAAAGGAAGTAGAATCATCATTTGCAACTGATTTAGCATTGTGAAGATTCCAACAAGCGGCTGTGCTCCGATAAAAAATAGAAGTAAGCAGATTCCTGTATGGATTACTAATATAATCTGTGGAACTTTGTTAATCAGACCAGAGTCATATCTTATACATCTTTTAGATGAAGATTCCCAAATATGGCCTGTAATACATTCAGTTCAAATGTACGGATCATCCTTTTCTCAAAATTTGCAATTATTTACTGATCAAGGTTGGACAGTTATATAAATACTTTTGTAAAAAGATTCTACACCGTGCTCTGTCTTAATCTGGAAAGGATACAAAGTTAAATTTTTAACTTTTGAGGTAGAATTAAAAGTCAAAATCTCAGTTGAGCTATTAATACTAGCCCATTCAGGAGGTGTGTTGCCGTTGAGACTTTCAATTTTGTGCACAAATGCCACGTTGTCATCAGGGTGTCTACACCCAAATGATAATTTTTCTGAAAATATTACATTCGGAGAGTAAGAATGATTAAACTCTTGATTCCAAATGTTTCATAAATAATCTTTTTCGTGTACTGTTGGAGCTTCAGTGGAAATAATTAATCCGGAAGGATCCTCTTCAGTAATAGCTCTAGTCTCGTGGTTTAGAGCTGTCAGAGTTGATGGGAAGGTTTGAACTAGAAAGCTTACTGTCATCACAGAGAACATTGATGTCTTACTGGTAAAGTAATTAAGTCTTGGCATATCAGCTAAAGAGCTTCTTATCAAGAAATGCTCATTATTGAAACTTCCACCAAAAATCAAATACTCTGTTCCTTCAATAAGAGTATTGTAGGTACTGTATATATTGATCCCTGTTTGGACAAACTCACGGTTGACGCTAAGGTTTGAGGTGCCTTTCTCAATGAGAGTGATGATCATCTTATTTAGCTGGGTATCTTTAACAATTAGCATCACATACCCTGTGATTTCTTTAATCATCAGAATCTCACTTGAAGTTCTTGTAGCAATAAGCCCTGTTCCAAAGGAAGCTCCTGTTGAAGCATCGAGTGCGTAGACTAGAACTCTTTGAGCAAAGAATCCTGCCAAATAGATAAAGGTACCATCTTTGTTGAGGATAGATCTGCTGAGACCTGTAGTACAAGAACCTCCTCATTGAACATATTTGTACCATTTTAGGTTAGTAGGATCTGAGTAATTTGCCCTAATAAAATATAGTTGATCGAAATCTTTCTTCATTAAAGTGATGAAAACATCGTCATTATTTAGAGGAACTAAGTTGATTCTTTCTGTATGTTCGTAATTGAAGCAATCAGCTTGGGTAGCTAATCTAGCCCATTTGCAAGCACTCCAGATATTCCCAGGAGACAGACTCGCTGTAAAGTATAGGTTTGATGCATATACTTCTGAGAATGCTAATGTACTGAATGAAGCTGAAGCAATCGAGTAATATTTTGAAACGGTTAGATCTGTTGAATTCAATTCGATAAAGCGTTCACCTCCAAGAAGAGCTATAATTAATAGTTAATTGGTAGGTTATCATCAATAATGCCCGACTCAAAAATTTGGAATAAAAATTAGTTTTCCACAAGCTTTAAAATTTAGTCATTAGGATTAACAAAGTATGTTAGTTTAATATCTGTTGAAACGGTTCAAATAGTCTTTTAAACTCTTTAAACCAATTCAGGCTTACCAAGGTTAGAAGCAGTGGAGTCAGCTATTATGTATAAATAATAACCATTGGGGCTAATCTTAATGCTAGTATGAGCTGGATCAAGTTTGATCGCTTTCATTAGTGTTACTTCAAGATCAGTATTAGTCTTCATAATCCCTGAATAGACATCATTTGTAGAGTTATTTGAAAATTCTATTCCTAGATACAATACATCTTGTTCTGGATGAGAAAGTAGAGAGTAAATAAAGTTATGATTTGTGTGCTGTGTCTCTATTTTTCTTGAAAATGGCACATTCATTATATCTTTCTCTTCCGTACAGATGTTTCAAAGATAAAACCTGAATAACCACATCAGGATTATTAGTCTTAACATTTATTTTATTATTCTATTACTTTATGCTTTCCTGGGGTTTTGGGGTTTTGGGGTTTTGGGGTTTTGGGGTTTTGGGGTTTTGGGG